AAGCCTTTTTTCGGTGTTCTCTGCAGCAGGCTGATATCAAAGTTTTCCCAACTGCTGCTGTGATTTTTGTCCGCAGACTGGTCCGAACTCAAATACAACTCAGGCAGAACCAGTCACAGAGCCCAGCGCCACTCCTGGGGGTGTTATTGCTGCAGGAGAGAGTGGGGTTGCGCCAGTTGCCCAGTGCCATAGGCAATCTTTATGCCTTAAAGATGCTTTTTCCTCAATATATTTATTGACAGCATACCGAAAGTCAGAAGGGGCTGGCCCCATCCCGCCCCCCCCCCAAAATGGTGGGGCTTAAGCAAGCTTATATGCAAGGATAAATCAAAGCAGCAATTTGTAACTCCTCCAAAAATCAGTGTTTGCAGGGCCTGGGATGGGCAGCAGGTTCAGCTCCCTGGCGAGCCCTACGGATCCCTTAATTAAAAGTTTAAAGGCTTCAAAGTGACCCAGTGGTTTGGGACCTGGGCAAGAAGCCCGGGGGAGAGTGCTGGGGCTGGAGGGGATTGCTGGGGGGCTGTCGGCCGGGTGCAGCCCCCGCATTCTCTTGCATCCCGTGTTGCCATCGCTCTTTGGGTGAACTTTCATTTGGGCTCAGCTCATCTGGGAGGGTCCCCGTGTTTCTGTTTCCCCAGGACTCGGCTCGTCCCCTTAGGCCTTGCAGCGCAGAGCGTCCCACATGCAACGAGTTTGCAGGGTCTCAGCCCTCCCCGTGCCCCCATCCTGCCCCCTGGCTGGGGGAGCCATGCTGCTCACGTCCTCCTCCCCTCACTGAGGTTTTTGACTGTGGGTTAATCCACCCGAATCCCGCCAGGCTGAGCCCGTGTGGGGCAGGACACAGCCATCCGGGAGCTGCCCTGTTGTTTGCTGCCGTAATCTGTTTTGAAAAGGCAGCCCCTGATGCTGTTTTTTTCCAATTAGGCCTTGGGAGATGATTCTGGTAAGGCAGCGGCTGGGCTAATTTACCAGGCAGACATTTCATTGAATTAGCCCGTGAGCTGTGCAGAACAAAACCGGGAGAGCAGAGCCCGGGCTGGGGCAGGACTCGTCAGCGAGGTTCGGCACGATGCTGATGGCAAATAGCCGTGCTCTGCCCGAGCCTAAAGCCTGCTCCTGAGCTCTCGTGTCAGTGTTTGACTCTTGTTGGACAGGGAGGTGAGCTTGGGGCTGGTGGGATGCGCCGGGAGAGGAAAGACGGGAGTTCCTCAGCTGGGCTGAGAGTGCTGGTGGCTGGCAGAAACCTCACCATCGACTTGCAAACCGTGCAAAACTGCTATGGACGTCATTGAAGGAGAATAAATATAGAAGCCTGCGATGCCACTCGTTCCCAGAGTCACTTTTCAGGCCGTAACTTTGCGCTGCGAGGCGACATCAATTAAAGAAAATGTATCTCTGCAGCAAGCGGTTTTGCACGCCTGCCCGGAGGAGTTCGATACGGCCGGGGACCCTCCCTCCGCCTGCTCCCGTCCCCATCGGGGACAGTGTGACACCACTGCCTAGCGTTTCTAATCGCTTCCCAAAAGCCAGCGAGGGGCTGGTACAAATCCTCATTTTGTTGAGCAATGGTTTGTGCACCAGAGGGTCCCCACACCCGCCTTTGGGTTGCAGCCCCCTCTCGTGAGCTGCCCAGGAGCAGGTGAGCAGTGAGCATCTGCTCAGATGGGGATATTTAAATATTTAAACAACCCTCAATTCCCTTTTTAAACCAAAAGGAAAAATGGGGCTGCTCCCCGGGGAGTTTGGCTTTGCAAGTTGTGCATCCCCCTGTGATGCCTCCGCATCCCATCCCGCTGTGGGAGCAGGAGCCGGGGGGCTCGGCTCGGCTCACAGTACAGCCCAAGGCTCTTAGGGGACTCCTAAAAATCCCTTTTGTCCGGATGGGGTGGTGCGGCTGTGTGGTGCCCAAGCCTGGGGAGGGGCTGAGCAGTGGAGCCCAAAATGCCCCTTTCCCGGCAGGTTGGGATGTGCTTGGGGAGGACAGATGGAAAATGGATGTGGGGTGATCCCGGGCGGCAGGAATGTGGCTGCTGGGGCTGTTGTGTGGCCCGTGCAAGGGCTGGAAAAGGCTGTTGTAGTTGTCCCGCCCCTTTCTGGGCATATTTACCTTATAATTCCCGAGACTCCAATTACTCCTGAGACTGGGGCTCTTACTCCTTCCTTGGGAGGTGTTACATCCCCCTCTGCCTCCCTGCAGCAGGGAGCTGTGGGTTAGAGAAGGCTGTTTTATGGGAACAAACTATTTTATAGGCACAAACTGGGTAGAAAATGAACTGCTAGGCTGGCGGTGAGCAGGATTTGGGGGAAGGAGGGGAGGGAACTTCCTCCTTTCTGAAAGTATGACCTCCAAAGAGATGAGGAAAGGCAGCGCTTCTCTTCTGCTTCGTTTTAATTTTTGCCGGTTTGGGGGTTTGTTTTGTTTTGTTTTGTTTTGTTTTGTTTTGTTTTGTTTTGTTTTGTTTTGTTTTGTTTTGTTTTGTTTTGTTTTGTTTTGTTTTGTTTTGTTTTGTTTTGTTTTGGTATTTTTAACATTCTCTGTTTTAATAAGCAGGAGCCTGGCTCCTGAGCGGGGCCAGTGAAACACTGATCCCGGCAGCCCTAGAAATGGGAATGCTGGAGATGGGGCACGTGGAAGCCCAGCCATCCTCGAGGAAGCGCCGGTCAGACTCAGAGGTGACCAAAAGCTCCCCAGGGCCGGTCCTTCTCTGTGGAGGGTCGTTCTCCGAGGCCGATTGCTTGCTCCAAACCTCAAGCTAATTGGATGCTGCTCTCCGAGCTCTAAATCAAATCACAGCTCCCATGAAATGAAGTTTTCTGGATGCGAATGGCCGCCTGCATCATCCATCACTGCCCGGCTTGCGGCGCATCCCCTCTCCAGTGTCATCGAAGGTCGACGATTGCTTTTTCCAGCCACACACCATCAGCTTTTCCCTGTTAAGGATGGCACCTGGGGAGGTGATAACTCTGTCGAAAGCTCCCCTGTGTGTCCCTGGTGCCCCTCGCTCTTGGCAATGTTTCGGGGTGCAGTTTGATAACAGGGTGCAGGAGCCAAGCGTGTTGGTCTCTATTATTAGCTCTGCGTCGGGTCCCCTGATGGATGGAGATATTAGCTGGGTTATGGACCTATTGATTTCTCAGGGTTGATTTTTTTTTCTTCTTTGTTTCGTGTGTGAGAGCAGTTCGAGGAGGAAATCCAATGCCTGTCCGCCTTTTGGCTTTGTATGGGAACTTTCCAAGAGCTGAAAATCAATTCATGGCAGGCAGGATCCTGCAAATCACTGCAGGCGAGTGAGGAGGGTGGGTGATTTTTGGGGAGGGGAGGTCCCCGCTGTGCCCGCCAGCACACGTGGCAGTGAGGGGCTGGGGCAGAGATGGGCAGGTCTCGTCTGGAAGCTGCCACCTCCCTCTGTCAATTAGGGCCGCGTGGCGAGCGGGTAATTGGATCTCCTTGGCTGCAACCGGCTGGCACTTGGGCCCTATCAATTAGCCTTGCTCTGGACGAGGCACAGAGGGATGCGGGGACCGGTAATGAAATGCGGTTGCGCCAGGCATCGCCGGAGGGTGGGGGTGACAGGGGCGATGGGTGCGGGACAGCTCCTGCACCTGCTTCTTGGGTGCATCTCACTTATTTTTGCTGAAATTGCAGGTTTCAGGCCCAGGATCCTGGCGGTTTGGGTTTACCCACCTTCACAGCACCCACCTTTCCTGCTGGTCTCCCTAAAAAAGCAATTTATTTAGCCCCGCTGCAGGGAGAGAGGTGGCATCAGTGAGGATGGGGACACCAGGCAATCCCCTTGGGCGGGGGGGATGAGCTGACAGTGGGTTTTTCTCCTTGTCCTCCCTCCCAGGGCTGCCAGTGTCTCCCCATGGCCATGCAGTGCTGCCTGTCTCGGCCGGCCGTCCTGGGGCTGGCGTGACCACGACGTCCTGCCTGTCCTTTTCTGGGTAGGTGCCCATGGGGTGGCAGGGGGATGCTGCCCCGGAGGGGATAGAGGGGAGAGCTCCTTTCCCAGCGGCATGTAAAACATTGTCCGCTTGTGCGATGATGCATCCGCCTCCTCCATAATTAATTTTAAAGAGGAAAAGGCCGAGTGCTGACTAAGCCAGGCCTTCGCCCTGCGAAGCTGCATGATTCCCGAGCCGCTGATAGCACAGCCTTGTCCTGCAGAGTATTTCTCCGAGCTTGGGAAATGCCTCCTTTCCCTGCTCCAAATTAATAAATAAATAAATAAAATTATCATCATCATTATCATCTGCAGGACCCAAAATGCTTTTTGCACCATGGAGGCTCCCGAGGGCACAGGCACATGATGAGCCCTGTCCCTGTGGGATGCGGGACATGAAACGGGGCTTCCCTCAGGTCCCAAAGCAAAGGCAAATTCTCGGGAAGCGGGGAAACGCGCGGGAGGGGTGCTGGTGGGCCACGGCTAACCTCTCCCTCTGCTCCTTCCAGGTCCAACGCCTCCGTCACTGAACGTAAGTAGTCCCCAGGTCCCGTGGCGTGGGGACAACGGTGGGGGCTGCTTGGCTCATGCCAAGCCTGTGTTCGACCCATTGGTGTCTAACAGGCAGCTGGGGTGCATTTTTTGGGCTCAGACTGCCAGAGTTGTGGATTTCCAAGGCTCCCCTTTGGCTTTTTTCCAGTGGAAAGCCAGGTTTTCTTGTACGTTTTGAAGCAGAAGCTGTATTTTCTGCTGGGATCGTGGAAATTAGCCCTTTTGGCACAGCAAGGGGGGATGCTCTGCAGGTGGACTGCGGGGTTGTTTCCCAAAGACCCCAAGCCAGAGGCAGCGATGGCAGCGAGGGGACACGATGCTCCATCTCTGGCTAAGAGGAGGAGAATGATATTGGGTGATAGTTTTCGAGTTGGGGAGGGAGGTAACAGGAGTGCGATATTTCGGGATGCCTCATGGGCGTCATGTCTGTGATGTGACAACGAAGCCACAGTAGGTGACTTCCGTGGCCCTGTGCCTTTCAGAGTTTGATGGAGAATCGGTCGGATGACAGCGGGAACTGTTGTTATCACCGGGGGAATCCTAGCGACGGTGATCCTACTGTGCATCATTGCCGTGCTCTGCTACTGTAGGCTACAGGTGAGCGCCGTGGCCGTCCCCCATCTTGCCACCAACCCCAGCAGCATCACTGCTCCTCGGACTGAACTGCTGGTGCAGGAGAGTGTCTAGAAGGGGGTTTCTTGCAGGTGATGGGCAGGGAGTTGAAACCCCCTTTCCCCTCAAGTGCTGCAGAGTTACATCCTTTCCTCCTCCCGGCATGGGAGGACTCTCCTAAGGCTTTTGAGGCTCTGCAGCAGTTGCTAATATAGGTGTAGGCTTGGCTGGGTTCGCAATACCAGATGGAGATTTTTATATTATTCCTCCACCCCCACCCCCCCCAGTAAATTAAACGAGGAGGCTTTCAACAACAGCTAGCTACAACCTCCTGCTCTTTAAAAGTTAATGTGAAGTCCGTGCCATGCAGCAGCACCCGTGTGATGAAAAGCACAGCAGTTACTTGGAGGAGTTTCCAACTGGCACGGTAAAATACCTTCCCCTCGCAAACCTCGCTGGGAGGGGAGAGGATGAGTTCCACATCAGCTGCCTCCTGCAGCACGCTCAGGTCCGGGTTTCGTCCGGCTTCTGCTGTTTTGCAGGACTCAGGTACCAACGGAGCGGAGCAGTGAGAGGCCGGTGGAGGGTTTCCCTGGCAGGGGGATGAGGGGAGCGGGGATGTGGCAGTGCTGGCTGCGAAGCCAAATCTGCCCACCGGCTGCTCCGCTTCCCCTAATACAACCCCTTCCCTTTCCTGCAGTACTATTGCTGCAAGAAAGATGACTCCGATGAGGAAGAGGAGGAGGAAGAGGAGGAAGAGGAAGAGCCTGACCTTCCCACGCACTCGCACCTCGGCACGTGCAATGCCTGCAACTCCCGCATGGTGGATGGCCAGGGCAGCCCCGCTCCCCCCGCCAGCGAGCTCAACCAGCACGGGGTTCAACACTACTGATCAA